AGGAGGTCGAGGTTGCTAAAGGACGTCGATGTTCCCTTGCACGTTCTTCTCGAAGGTAATAACTGCTCGGAAATCGCCTTCCGCACGTCGTACATCATCTGAGAGAAGCCGTGACTGCAAGAGGAAATGGACACCCACCATACTTTTACACCCATCCCTACACACACACTGAAAGATGAGCTCATTCCCTAGCCGCGTGTACAGGGGAAAACCTAAAGCCGCGTGAAGCGACTACTGCTGTCCTGAGCAGTTGCCATGCAGTATGTGAGGTGATGCCGCAGTTTGGGTATAGCCACTATGATCTCTCAGGAGCAAGATAAAGCCGACAGCTGTTACCTAGATAGAGATAATTCCGGACAGAGGAATAAAAGGGTTGTAAAAGAAGAAGTATTGGCTGTGGTCTGGGTTTTCAACCAACACTACTCGGGAGTCTTCACAACCCACATTATAGAACATGAAATCCAACCTTACTGTGAAGTAGCAAGTGTGGTGATTACACAGAACAAGCTTAGTACAAAAATGTGGTTTAGTTCTCACCGATGCATGGCTGGCAACTGCCATCCATTGGTTTGTAAGACTGAGACACATCAGACCCAGTGCAGCACTGTCTCGCTGTGGCTGATCCTCTCACTGAGAGCAGCTCCCCAGTGCAATCACTAGTGACATAACACTCTACCATACATTCTGTGAAAGATAGAGAGAGAGTGGGAAAGTACTAATTATATAATTGTAGATAGATATCAGACAAAGTTTTACAGTCACTGTGCTGGGTTTTACTACCGACTACATTGTCGCAGTGAAAGTTTTTGTGGAAGGCAAGAGAAGTTTGCACTTAGGGGCATGTAGGCTGTACCAAGAGATGTGTGACTGAGAGTGATTTCATATTCTACACCTCCGCTCTCGCAGGTGTTGCATCCTGTTGTGCGCCCAGCCGCGCTGCCGCGCGCTCTTTCGCGCACGCGCTAAATACGGCGAGGACGTTTCGCCGCGCGTTGCAACAGAGCGTCATCTCATCTTGGAGAATTTTCCGTATATACGCGAGTGGTCGGGCACAGAATCTACAGAAAACCGGTGATGGCTCCGGTCAGGGAGCGCGGAAATCTAAACTCAAGCAAAACACGAGCCCTCCCGCTCAATAAATGCAGTGTGGGTCCGCAGTATGTCTTACATACTAAATATAAGAGAGCTAATACTCGGAATAGACACCAACACTTGCTCTTTTCTGACATAACCGCCGCAACGCTGCGCGCATAACTCACCTCCGCGAGCGAACAGGGAGCTCGCAACGAGAAGAGTCGCTAGTAAGCTGGACTGCAACATCTCTGCCGGCGCTGGCTGACGAGACGGAGGGACAGAGAGACTAGCTTGGTCTGGGCGCGCGCTACCTCTTTTTACTCGCGCCGTCCGCGTTAAGGATCGTGGGCGGATAACGCGCATGCGCGGACGGTCTACAAAAGGCCGTGCGCGCGCGAGCTCTCCTTACCTGGCGCTACCCGCGCGATAAGTAAGTATCCATTTGTGGTAAATTATAGACCCTGGATTGTGTCCACAACCCCTGAAATACCCACACATCATGCGATTATGTTGCAGCAGACATCTTGCAGCCCAGCCCATCTTACCAATCTCATCACACACAAAGATCTTGAGTTGGCCGCTCAGTCTGATTCCGTCATACAGGGTACCAAGTATCTCCAGAGTAACTATAAACTCCTTTCAGTTGTCCGGGTTTTACTGGTGCAGTGAAACTTATATTTGCACAGATTTTCATTAAGCCATTCCTCCGGTTCCTGGGTCACATTTATTACTGTGGGGAAAAAACGTTATTAGATAGGGACACATGCATATGTACCTAAATTTTACCATCTCCTTCAGCAGATTTCAGTATAAAATTAACACTGAACTGGAATCAATAGCGTAGTCCCAAATCTGCCACACACACTCAGTAGGTTGGTCTCATTCTCTCGACTATGAGATCTCATCAGAGTCCAGAGAAACCGTGAACCACTGCATGCGGAGAAGAGTGGAAGAGTAAATGTGACACTCTGAGGTGAACCTGCTCCAATAGACTCCCTAGATAAGTAACTATAAATTGGCAACAACACCTAAAAATTAGCTGCCCTAGACACCCTGCTCTCAAGGTTGAGCCCTTCTGAACTAAGCTCAAAGATAAGTTCAGGATCATATAGCTAGAGCAATTTAACTAAAAGACTGCTGCATATCACTAACTTTCCCGAGTATCTTCAATGGTAATGTTCTGGACTTGGTCCTGGAGTTGGATCACGGTCATCCACGAGTGTTCGCTAGAGCTAGTGCGGGTAGCCATCATAATTCATAATCTTGACCACTCAGTTTTTTCCAGTGGATTCACGCGTCTATGATCTCCCCATCTATACAGCTCATGTGTTTGGCAGACTAAATGCAATGCGTCAGTCTTCACCCGAAAGTCTTTCCCATATACTGTGAGGTAGCACATTGTGACAGGTAAGCCCTTATGCAGCTAAAATATACTGGCAACTGAGTTCGATACCGGCAGTCCCTGTATTTCAAATGGTATACTGATTCTGTTGGCAGGACAACGCCTGTCATCTCTGCACATATCTTTAGAACAGCCCTTGTCTTCGGAGACAGTGTTGGTCTCAGACTTATATCGAACATACACAAACCGCTGTGAGAAAACAAGGTTTACAAAACCTGCATGAGCAACCGCTGGACACTATTTGAAAACCCAAGTGTCATACAACATCAAGGCCAAAAACACCTTAGTTTGATATCAAGCAGCCATTACGTACACAAGTGGTTGACTATGTAACAAATTAATGATACTCTACAGAAAAGCCGCACATGGATTGTGGTTTATTTGCACCAGCTGAGACCAGAGAGGACCCTTCCCAGGGTGTATATACATCACATGCACGATACCCAGTACCAGCCTAGTAAGTACACACACCAGTTAACTCATCAGTAATGGTGAATGTTTGATGATTTCCGGAGGTGAATCTGGGGTCATCAGTGTGTCTTGTCAGAGTTAACGTCGAATTCTCGTGCTCTCAAGAGTGTCGTCTGTTTTGGTTTTAATTTCCACGCAGTTTGTTTGTCACATTATAAAGTTCACGATGAAGTCTGTGCGATTTTCAAAATCACACTTTCCACACTCTACAAATGAGGATCAAATCACATATGTATATACATAACCTAACAGACCTAGTGTATAGAGCAAAACGTTTGGTCATATTGGTCGGTGGTTTTCTCTACCGGATGGATTGCTGGTCGCCCACTAGTAGAGAAAAGTATTCGAATGGGATTCAAGGGGCAAGCTCAGCAGGTCACTGACAACGTCCAGACACAGTGTGACACTTACTTCCTTCCACCACACCTCTTCCGATAATAGTGAGGTGTCAAATTACCGCTGCAGAAATTCAATAATCATCACACGTGTCTTACACATGATTCCCTGCTTACTAGTTGAGTCTATGATAGTGACCTTTGACGTGGCAGGGGAGAGTTGACTCCATCTGGTTACCATTTAGAGACTTAAAGTTACGTCGAAATCGATTCCTTATCCTTCTTCAGGGAATCGTTATATGGATGGTGATAGCCACACACTCATCTCACAACGTCGAGCGTCAGGACTCAGTGATACCAGAGGTAACGCTATCATCTGCAATTGTAAGAATTAGGCATGTGTTGGTGCTCGAGTGCAGGGATTGTACATTACCTGTGTTTCCACCAGTGGTTGTCAGTTCAATGATAGACTCACGTCGTGTTTACAGCTACTCTGAACCCACACACACACACGGGCTTTACCGACGTCATGCGTAGAAAGTATACTCTTCTGAGTGAAGCCCACTATGATACCTGCGTGACAAGTTAGTATAATATTATAGATTTAGTTCTGCAAGTGGAATCTACTCTCTACTGTCAGTTTCATAGTATGTGGCAGAGTCCCATGTGTGAATACCGATTCCGTCTTCTCGTGGCACGGCGACAGAAGGCCAAACATTCCTCCGGTTCGTCAATGGTTATCATTGATAATACTGCTGTTAGCGGTACACGCGTGGAGCCAGCAGAATAGAGCATATAGTCAAATTGTCTCGATAGTTTGAACATCTCCCAGGAACTGATAGAGAAGTTACGTGACCACAGTAATTATGCTCGGATACAATAACACGCAGCAACTCACTGGCACTGCTGCTGTGAGTTGTAACATCGACTTCAAAGTCGTAGCAAAGGGCAGTTATAGACGTCTGAATGTTCAATTTGACAGTCACCCAATTATTAGCATTCCTCCTCCCTCTGATGAGAAATACTCCGTCTGTTCAAAGCCAACAAAAGCCTCTGTAGATTCAAAACAGTGTGTTACCACCACCTGCAACACTATTGGTTGATCTACTATCATTTTCTGACTCGCGTTGTAATTTCATTCTTAGTAGACTGAGCTTGGGAGTGTTGCCTTTGAGAGCAGCATTCAATGTAAAATTCTGCTGTTCAACAGATTTGTCATCAGTATTGGAATATCCACACATTTGGCTTGGTCACATTCAGCAAAAAACCAACACTTTATCGCAGGGTAAAGAAAAGAACTGACAGACGAATACGGATTTGCCAACTCATACTTTCAGGGTTCCGTTGTAGTGGAGCTCTAACGAAAACATTAACGGAACCAACTGGGCAATCGAGAATAGGGTCACTACCACAGCACACACTGTGTATTTCGTCCCTCTTCACGTCGTCCACAGTCACACTCCACAATACCAACTGCCGAGATACATAATAGTGAAATTATAATAAAACAACTGTCCTACTATGCAACACTCACGATACTCCATCATCCATGACTACAATAGTTCCACTCTTGAGCACAATATTGTCTGCGCTGGTCTATATTTCCAAAATATCGTTAGTCTCTTTCGTTGCTCTCCTCCACCTGTCGTCATCAATATTCAGCTGAAAACTGTACTCTATCTTATCACACGGCTGAAACACCAGATTTCATTGAACACTGAAACATAAGGGGAAAAAACTGCAGTCATAAAGATACATATGTGTGTGCGTAATATGATGCCTAACGTCAGGGATAGTGAGGTTGAGATTAACATGGAAATCCACTTGACAGTCATCATCGAGCCCTTCGGCAGCAACAATATTAACCTCTACAACACCACGTGATTCATCCTTCAATGATCGGAGGAGGACCAATTATAGCAACTGAGTGAGAGAGATAAAGGATAGTTTATATAGAGCAATGACCCTAGCGACCCAGAACTTACTGTCATCATCAATAATCGTTACGGCTCTTCTGCTACGATCAATATCGATGCTTTGAATCAGGCCCGGACTGTTTGTTATATACACATCAAAAACTCGTCCATTTCCACTATATTGTCGTCATTATAGACCAATTCAGCGCACGTTGCAGTTTCACACTTCCTAATCGGTTTCATTATTGAGAGTGCCACAAAATCTTCGGTTGGTCCTGATTCTAAGTAATACAGGAAGTTAACAGTAACATCTCCAGAAATACCGCAACAGTAATATACCTGCTGAGCCAGTCGTTTCAGAAAGGAAGGCAAACGAAGCAGAAAATTCAATTGGACAAACAGCATGTGGTGCCACTATCTTAGCACATATTTGAGCTGGTTCATTGCTGCCTTCTCTTATGGTGAGCGTACTTGCATCAAGATCCATTTCCACCCTCACCACTGGAGAGTAGAAAGGCAGGTAGAAAATGGTACAGCATCATACATAGCTCAGTAACAAAGGCTCCATTAGCCTGGTGATCTATACTACTCACTGTCATTATCCTTAATTCCAACTCGTGCAGATCTTGTCTCTCCAAATAGAACTGAGTAGTCGTCATTTGGTTCTAACGACACTCTGAAGGTCTCCCTAAAGAACCCAGAATCCAATTCAACCATGTCATCATCATTAAGTAAAATATCCACGCAGGCCTCTGCTGCTGAATTGAACACCATCGTCTGTGTTACAGGGCTGAAATCATTGATATCTAAAGTGAGAGAGTACTGGTCACACCTCGTAAGAACCTGTAGGTACAACAACATGCCTGCAGTTTCAGGATCATCCCAAACAGAAGGAACAACATCGACTGAAACTGTGATGTTGTAGTGCTCGTCGTAGCTGAGGCTAGCACACACGTGAGCTGTGGCTCCTTCAGTGCCAATGATTGTGTCCATCATAAGACTCACATTCGCTAAAGAGGAAAGGTATTGTTGGGAAGGAAAAGGATTACTATACACAGCACCCGGATAAATTACCCAGCACAGTCTTTATATAAAGCTTAGTTTAGATGTGGGAGGGAAGAGGGCAAACTTATTTTCCTTCCCGGCAGAGCCGTAAAGTGAAAATTGCAGAGAAAATTGATTTCTTGTTCTCCCACTACCATGTCCCAGTATTATCGTAAAACTTTACATACTGCTCTAAAACTAGGGAAAACACGTCTCCCTCGAAAGCTTCCCGTGCTAAACGGTACTCGTAAAGCTAACATACGTTTTGGTAGGAGAAAGACAGCTCCAGTTTCATTCAGCTGTTCCGCATATTTGTTCCCATCATTCTCGATGGTCAGGCTGAAATTAAAGTACTCTACTTGTTCGACAGTGGTGGAATCGTCAGTAATGTTGATGTAGAAGCAGCTCTTATTTCCACATTTATCAAATTTCATCAGCCCACCCTGGCGGTTGTGAGGTTCACCAAGTGGCGCATAGTCCTCAGTATGAGCTGTACAAAACCAGGGGTTCAATTCAGAGCCTCAGTCAATATATTATCAATCTTACTTGCATTTCCACCGTATGTGTGAACACGGTAATAGAAATCAGCATCTGCCTGGCACTGCTCATTTCCACCATTTTCTACTTTCAGACATATTTCAACGGATTTGTTGGAGTCAAAAATGTAATATTCGCTCTGTTCCAACTTAAGCAGCAGGACTAGATATAAAAGCAGCACAATAATAATAATATAATAATCAAACACTTACTAAAACCACCACACTTACGGTCATCCTCTAGTACTTTAAATTCCCTGACTTCTGTAAAGACTTCGAGTATCCCTATGTCTTCAGAATCCCTGCTAGTATTAGATAAGAGAGACACGTTGAACGATTGGAGATGATATTCATTATCATCTGTAATGTTGAAGACATCTTTGAGATCCACACAGGCTGTTGTATTACACGGATCCAAGATCACATTGCGACAGATTTGATCTCCGCCGTGATCAATGTTATCGCCATTGTCCGTATCATCAGTTGATCCTGGGAAAGAGAGGGGGCACTAAAGTGCACGTGATGTTTACTACTATATTATATGTGGTTGTTAAGTATTGAAAACACGCATGTGCAGCGGTAACAATAAGTGGGTGGTCGGGTCGCCAAAGCTTGCTCTATCGCTACGTTGTGGTTTAGGCATTTCAGGACTCTTTGATCTCTGTGTTCCTTCCACCATAAGATGCTGACTTTTGTAATAGTAAGCTAGTAAATGGCTTGCTTTTCATGGCACAAGTTGTCCTTTACTTTTATGAATTAGGCTATTGAGCCCTTTGTCATCATTTATTATCCACAGTTGCCGAAAAGATTGCAACAGGCAGATACACACACATTGACCAATAAACCGTGTCTGTGCAAGTCTCCACACATAACATGGGTCGGTATGAATCACTTACTTGATATCCTGGTAAACCTAATGGTAAATTCAATATCAAACTCTACTGGACAATCATCTTCTTCACTCTCTACGATCACGCACACATTAAATGGACCTTCGTCTTCTTCGTTGAATTCGATATCAGACATGTTGAGACGAATCTCAGCCACTGTAGGAAAGAGGGCTAAATTACAAGGCTACCAGATTCAGAAACCTTACTGTCAGTGCACTCTATTGCCACCTCAGTCACTGTCTCAGTAGAATTCTCTGAGTCAAACACAACTCCTTCTGTGGCAGCCTTTATTTCCAGATCAAAGCTTTGAATCGTGTGTTCGACGGTGCCGTCGTTGATAATGAAGTCGAATAGGCTGATATCATACTGTCCAACTCTGTTTTCTGGGATTACAAAGTCTACTGTGTCCTCGACAAAATCCTGTCCTGGCCTTGCGATATTATCCTGATTGACGCCACTGACGTCCAGACTTCTCCCTGTGAGTTTCAGAATGATGGGCTTCTGGTTTGACAGGTTCTCCTGCCATGTAACCGTGAGATTACGCTCTGTTATGTTGTTCTCCAACACGGTGTATGACTTCTCCACATTAATCAGCAGTAGTTCTGCGTAACACATTAGAAGAGTTGGAAATGATAATTACACACACATTCCTATGCTCAACCCCTTGTAAGTGATGATCATTGAAAACTGTAGTGCAAGCCAAGAGTGTTTTCAGTACAAATACTTTGCCCTTGTAAAATGTTTATTACTGGAAATAATGTCACTTGGCATAGGCACATATTTCAGAGGTTACCCTAGCTTTTGGCTTCACTATTGAGAAATCAAAGTGGGCTAGTTCACCGTGGTTCTTACCGTTTTTGTCAATGATGATGACTTCTGTGGTGTAGCGGATAAACTCCCCCCTTTGTTCCACTGCATCCACATAGTTATTGATACCACTTGTGTGCCTCAGAATGATTTTGTCGCCACCCTCTAAAGCTACGTCGTCATCTCTAGCTGTCACTGAGATGGTCTTTGACTCTTCGCGCCGCAGTAGTGTGACAGAAACTGGGATGAAGTCTGGGAGAAGGGAAGTGGCTTGTGATCAGTTGTAGAGTGAAACCTTCAAATAAAGGACACCTTGGAGACGTTTAAAATGTACTTTATTCAGAGGTGTCCTATATTTGGAGGTACTAGAATGGGACAGAACAAAGTGTCCTTTAGAGATAGCTTTTCAGAGGGTGTATACATTTCAGAGGTTTCACTGCTTTCGGACTTACCGTCAACGTTTATATCCTCTGTTACAATACTGCCTTCGATTGTGAGGAGTGGAAATGCAGTTACGCTTTTTACGTTTCTTTTGAAAATGACATCAACAGTATCGCCTTCCAACACAGTGTATTGTGTCTTCTCAAATCCGTGGACTGTAAGATGAATTAGCAAACATGCAAACTGCAAATCGACACATTTCTAGCCGTAACACACCCAATGCAGGTGAAGTTTCTCCATAGGTGTAAGAGGAACCTTCCTCTATATCTACACAGCACTCTCTAGCACTGAAGTACCCGAGGAAAGACTCATCAGATCCATGGCACATGGGAAGCTCTGCATGTGACAGAAATGTATCATACAAAATTCAACGAACTTGCACAATCTGTAATTTCACTCATACATCTAGCATGCTAGAAAGCCAATTATCCATCATTAATGCGGCTCTCAATTTGAAATATATAACCCCACATAGCGTCCATAAGAGCAGACCAGCAGGCTAGCAAGCAGGTGTTGCAGACTGGGCATGAGTTGTGCCTCTACATTTAATGGCTCAGCAGACAACCATGTAGATAATGACTGTTTGAGAGTACTATAACTACAACACAGCATTTGGTTAACTTCATCAGCCCATTCCCCAGGTCAGAAGGCAGCTGACCAATGACAGCATTACAGTTCCTACATCTGTCTCAACAATGCACGGGCTATCTAGGTTCATACCAATGCTGATAGAGATTAGGACTATGCAAACAGGGAAGCTATCAGATGGATTGTGGGCTGTACTGTTGCAATACCAATGAACCAAAATATTTCAGGGTTGCTGATTAGCTCTTGTAACTCCATTCTTCTTGGTCATGTCCATACAATCCAAGCCATTGTGTTCTAACTCCTGATGTCTGGGAGTTTTATTATTTACCTCTGTCCCAACATTAACTTATAAGGCTCAGTCTACAAGAATAAGCTTCCTCGCTCTGTTGCACGCACAGCATCTATCCAGCCAGCTGGTATCACACGTTGCTGTCACGAGAGAGTGTGTTTTTAACAGAAGCTAGGATGGTAACAGGTTATTCTAGCCCATTTCAAATAGGGAAGAGTTTATTGTCCACTTGCAGAGCTTAGCAGAGAATAATATCCCATGGAAGCTATGTTAGTGTATAATAGTAAGTCTATTGTGAGCTCTTCTAACTATGGATTATCTGCCCTCAAGAGCTAATTCATAGACAACAGGGAAAGGGGGGGCTGGGCTACACATGTAAGTCTGACCAAGCCACAGTTTGGAATGTACATTGAGAAAGTAGTTGGTTTATGCAGGGCTATATGGTGTGGTCAGAGACGGATTTTTACACCTCAGACTAAAGAGTAGAAACCTTTCCGTTCTGGCCCTTAGAACATTTCCTAGCCTTTGAACCTTGGGTAAATTGCTCATGTATTGCAAAGTGACAACCAACATCAAAGGCTTGACTTAGAGTAACAGTTATTTACTGGTAATCTGAGGGCTGAGGGATTGCCAATGCAGTAAAACTGGGTTAACTAACATCAAAGGCTTGACTTAGAGTAACAATTATTTACTGGTAATCTGAGGGCTGCAGGATTGCCAATCCAGTAAAACTGGGTTAACTACTGCCGGCATTGGAACTAACTGCAACCACAGCTTTTTACAGAGCATAGGTCTCAGCAGGCCTTCTGCAGCTGTTGCTGACCATCTACAACATGTTTGCGGGCATGAAGGACAATGGAGGCTACGCCAGAGTCAGAAGATGGGGAGAGATCACTCGATGTTTTTCCTCCACATTGTTTTATCACACCCCAGATCTTCAGTGGCCTGAGAATGGTGCAACTGTCTCATTTGCTGTAACAACAGTTGTAGTTCCAAAAAGAATCTTTGATAAAAAACAGGTTTTTTGAGGGAGGGAGGAGGTGTGTGCAGTGGGTTTGGGGAAGAGGGGGTCTAAAACTGGCTTCCTATGAACGAGCACTGGCTGCCTTTTCTTTGGAGTATGGGGTCTGCGTGAATGTCTTTACCAGGGGCTTCCGCCTAGCTAGACACCACAAAGTGATCACTTTAGGGTGACGCAACACCGGATAATAATCACCTCCAACACTGTGGAGATAATGCATATTGACAGTCTCTAAACACATGAAAGGGAGACTAAGTAAACGGTGGTGGTTTTATGTAACATTTTGGAACTGTGGGGCTAGGCCACAAAGTCAGGTCCAGCATCTGTCCACAAACTCAAAAGTGGACACACACGGAAGATTTACTATGAACAGCTACCAACAAGTATGTGCTTAGTATAAACGTGTGTAAACAGGAACATGCAAAGGTTTCTCTGCGTAGTATATAAATATTATGTAGTTTTACGCGCATGCGTATGTCGCAGCACGCGTCAGTTCGCACCACGTTTCTGCGCAGGTAAAACTTACCCAGACAGTGTGTTGTCTCGTTGTAATCCAAATTTCCCGGAGGGTTTCTGGGGTAGTCTCGATTCATGAGGGTCGTCATGTCGATGGCAATCGGCGCAAGAGTTCGGAATTATGCCTCCGGTGCTCACTAAACCATACAGATCACTCTGCCTTGGGGCGAAGCTTTCTTCGTTCCAAATCCCGTCGATACACCTTATATCGACCAATGCGTAGTCGTGCCCCGTTACCACGCAATCCTCCCCGCTGCAGCTGTACTCGATAATTACTGTTGCAGCCCTCTCCGCGTCAGAAGTCAGCTGCTGGTCATTGTCACACAGAGTCTCGTCATTCGCAATCGTTATCTTCCTTGCTTCATTACTAAGTAGGTCTTCCAGGAGCTCTTTTGTGAAATTGGGACAGCTTGACGCTGCGACGCTACTGGCAGGCAATAGCGACGCGAGGATCACTGCCAACGTGTAGTGGAGCTGCCGCATGGTCGAAGAAACACGCGGGAACTGCCGTACTACTACTATCTACTGCGTTGGCGCGCTTCCGCGATCCGATATAAAAACGTGTCGCACGGCATTGTGCGCGCACGCGCAGAACATGCGCATACGCATGCGCGCATGAATTGAGAGGCCGTGTAGAGGCCGTGCAGCAGCGCCGCTACACACTTTCCTGTTGCATATCTACCTACCAACCTGCAGATGGCGGATGGTTGGTAGGTATGTGCTTGTAGTTTTTCGACCTGGAGATTATAGAAAACCTAGTCCTAATGTTAGCTACTGAGCTACAGCCCATCTTCGCATTGTCCTGAGTCATCACAGGCTGGATGGCCTGCTGGCTAGGGCGCTGCTGATGGTATATATTTCCTGCAGTATACGCAAAAAATAATAGCCGCTCGGCTCCCCAACGGGGCAGCTAGCTACCTTCTAATGTCATTAAACCCCCGGGGGGCCCCCCGATGGCGGCCCCCGATGGCTGGCCCTGCGCTGCTGGCGCCGCGACGTTTTTGCCGCCGATGTCGATCAATGTGCGCATGCGTGACCAGATGAAGTTCCTGCGTCACCACGCAGGTAAAGGATGGTATATGCGAGGGGGCTATGCCAGAGCAATAGCTGCCGTTGACCGTGACGTCTTGTTGTGTTTGTATGAAGTGGGGAACCACCTGGTATATATTCTTGATACTAATAGTTGAAACAGCTGCATGAAAGAACACTGTTTTGCCATGTATGCCCAGCTGATAGTTAGTCGGGCATAGTATAAGAGAAGGTGCTAAACTATCATTATAATCAGCATAATTATGTGCACAATGTGGTATGAACCACAATGTGCATCACAGTGACAGCTGGTTGGTGTTTGTAACTACTGGCACAAAGACCACTTTTCGTTCACCACCAAAATTTCAGAAACAAGTGTTCTGAAATGAAGCTGGGTGTAGAGAAGCACCCACCCATGCTAATTTTGCAGCAAAACCTGTGAATCGCTAACCTTTGGGACTATAGGGGTATTTATACCATTTTGTGGGTACCTACTTCTGTATCCGCCCCTGGTACCTACTTACCAACCAGCCTCTAAAAGATACTAATTACCATTTGCTGGAGCCTGATTTCTAGCTAGAGGGTGCCTTGCTGAGCAAGCATGGTTTATTACAAGCCCTGTGGTCCAAATTTCTCTGCTTTTACTGGAGCATCCCAACTGCATCCACCCAACTCATCACACTATCCACTACATTAATGTTTTATCACTGATAGTCACTCCGAACTTCATAGTGTGCATTTAGTTCAGAACCACAAGTGCTGCACTCATGGTAGCCTTTATAAATTCTTGATGCCAGAGAGAGAAGTTGTGGTATGCTCTGCTGATGAGGGCCAACAAGCCTGAACAGCTGTCCAGAGCTCGCATCTTTTTTCTCTTGGCATCACATGGTCTAATACCTTCATGACCTGCACGCCATTCATCAAACTATTCGCAATGTAGCTAACATCTGCTCACATCCGAAGAAGGAACAAACTCTAAGTAATTTTTAAACTGTCCTGGTTTCATCTGGGATTTGCTGGCCTTAGTAACTATTTGAGTAATGTATCGCAAGTCCTTATAGGGAACACTTTATGCATTATAATGATATAAACAAACCTACTACAAATGCACAGAAAAAAACTACGAGTACCAAAAAAGAATCAAGTTTCTTAATAGAATGCTGAAGTACAGCAGCAGTTGGTATCCTAGCATCTGTTCCCATCGAAGTGAGAGAACTTGAAATCAGTGGCGAAAAGAGAGTCGACTTTGTAATCAGTGTAGTCTCCTTCGATGACAGAGTCGTTTGGGTTTGGATCAGACACCTCTGACAGCTCCCCGGCCTGCGTGTTGCCGACGTAGTAACACACCCTCTTCTCAAACTCCCACGTCACACTGTACTTCAGCCCCACAAAGCTCCTGGGATCAGACTGAGGGTGGTCCACGGTGATGACGTAATCGTCACTTCTCTCTGCTCCTCCGAATAGACCAGTGTAAGAGCTGACTGTGACCGGCACGTTCCAGAACTGACCTGGAATTGAGCACGAATCAGTGAATACACATAACATGGAATAGTGATTGTTACCAACCAATCAGTCCGTGGGATTGTTCGTTCAGGTTGAGTCCACGCATGACCACGAATCGGATGAACCTGATGTCGAAGTAGTCCCAAGTGACTGGGTCCTCCACCTGCCCTGCTCTGCAGAACACCCACATGACCAACATGGTGTCACCACAGTTCGGGACGGAAATGCGCACACGAGACGATGTAGCGTAACGCTTCACCGATATTCCATCGAAATCGGTACCTAAAGATAACCCCCCATTGATTGTAGTGTTGCACCCATCCAAATCAACCTGAATGTTCCAACAGGCGGTGTCTCCCCTAGCCATCACTCCAATCTGAGTAACTACATTCAAATTTATGTTTGGACTGGGAGTAACGGCCTCCTGGTAGTAGGCATTGACTGAGGTGCATTCGTCTGAGATGAGGTTGAAGTAGGAGCCATCTTCACCATGGACCTCGTAGCACAGCGACTCGACTGGGTCACCAAGCTCCACGGTGGGGTTGGTCCAGATCGGAACAGTCAGCAGAGGATCTCCAGTCAGAGTATCATTCACAAAGAAAGTTAGGCCTGGATAAAAATGATACCTAATATTTTTAGAAAGCTCGACTCTGTAAAATGAACATGTTACGTTGAAATATATACACACAAAAACTCACCACACTCTGGCTCAGAAGTGTCATCAATAGTGACTGTAGCTCGAGGCACAGTCACAATGATATCAGGAATACCACTGTCCAGGGCAATGATGGAGAAGAAATTCTCGTTTGGATCATTCTCACATTCATCATCATCATTGATCCCAATAGTATGTGTCTGAGTGACAACTCCCGCATTGAACTGTATGATCTCACCAGCCACTGCTACATAGTCACCATCAGCAACAGCTGTGTATAATAGAGAGAGTAATAATATGATTGTTATTTTTAGTAGACTTGTGTCGCAATACTTGCAGTGCCATCTTGTGTGTTGACAACAAGAGTGAAAGGTCGTGGAGCTCCACCGGGATGACTGAAGACCCTAACTGTGAGAGTCACACTTCCATCACTTTCAGTTGTCATATATGTTGCAGGATCGTAGCCAACCGTGATTGGTGCTAAAGGAAGAGAACACACAATACTTTTACTTTTCTTGCCTACTGTAGTATAAACAATTACTTACCACACTCTGGCTCAGCAGTGTCATCAATAGTAACTGTAGCTTGAGGCACAGTCACAGTGATATCAGGAATACCACTGTCCAGGGCAATGTTGGAGAAGAAATTCTCGTTTGGATCCTTCTCACATTCATCATCATCATTGATAGTGATTGTGTGGGTCTGAGTGACATCTCCCGCATTGAACTGTATGATCTCACCATCCACTGGTACATAATCATCGTCTGCAACAGCTGTATGAAAAGATGCAAACGCTCAATTTGCATGTATTTTGCAGCTAGAAACATACTTGCAGTGCCATCTTGTGTGTTTATGGCAAGAGTGAAAGGTCGTGGAGCTCCACCGGGATGACTGAAGACCCTAACTGTGAGAGTCACACTTCCATCACTTTCAGTTGTTACGTATGTGACAGGATCGTAACCAACAGTGATTGGGTCTAGTGGAAGGGACAATCGCTATTACTACTACACCTTTTTGGAAAGCTGTCAGCTTACCACACTCTGGCTCGGCAGTGTCGTTGATAATGACCCTTGTTCTATCTCTTGTGATAATGATAGGCATATCCCCACTGTCATACTCCAAGTTGGAGAAGAAGTCTTCAAAAGGTGTCTCGCAATCGTCATCATCAATGATTTACGACATCGTGGCATACACGATCATCTCCCACTTGAAACATCAGTGGAACATCAACTACTCCAACATAGTCATCACCAGAGACTAATAAAAATGGGAAAGAATGAATATATTTTTCATGTTGCTGAGAAATTGTTCATACCAGCAGATCCATCTTCAGTGGTGGCATTAATAGTGAATGGTCTTGGAGAGCCACCAGGGAAGTTCGTAACAGCACACAGAGTTACAACTCCAATTCCCTCAGTAGTGGTGTAGACTGAGAACTCGTAGCCCACCTCAATTGGCACTGAAGGAATGTGACGTAAAATGCAGGGTTTTTTCAACAGGTAAAGCAAGGCTTACGGCATTCAGGTTCTGCGTCATCATTGATGGTGACTGTAGCTTGAGGTTGAATGACAAATATTGGTTGTACACCAGAGTCCAGGGCAATATTGGAGAAGAAGAACTCATTTGGGTCGTTTTCACACATCATATCATCGTTGATGATGATTCTGTGTGTCTGAAAGGTGTCCCCAACATTGAACTGCACAATCTCACCGATTACAGCATTATAGTCATTATCTGGAGCACCTGCAACTATATGTTGCATTATATACATTTGTTTGGATGAAAACAGATAAGCATACTTGCAGTGCCATCCTGTGTGTTGATGACAAGTGTGAAAGGGCGTGGAGCTCCACCAACAGGTGGGTCAAAGATGACAATTGTAAGCTCCACACTTCCCTGTCCTTCACTTGCAACGTATGAGATTGGGTCGTAGCCAACATTTATATTGACTGGAGGATATAATTGAAAAATATTCAATCACAATATTTTATTCATTGAGGAGTACTCACCATCATTATCGATTATCTCAACTCTTCCATCAGTAGGATTAAGCTCAATCCTGGGGTCTAGAGAAGGTGTCCTGTCAGGTGTAGGTGAAGAACTCCAGTGGCTCGTCCACCAGGTCATCTGTTATGGTGACATTCACACACTTCCTCGTCTCACAGGTATCAAACATCAGGAATAACATCAATTGCTCCATAGTCCATGGTTTCCACTGTGGATGACATGACACTGACTGCTATTTGTGCTACATAAAACATGAACAGACTGTACCTGCAGTCCCATCAGCAGTTGAAAGCCCAACTTCAATGGAATTCAATAGGACAGGTGATCTCCGGGAATGAACATAGGCACAGACGCTCAACGTAACCAACACCTTCCGAGACACTGAAAATGTCATCTCCAGACCCACCACAGCCCCTGCAGAACAAAACCAGCGGTTACAAATTCTCTCCTACAGTATACGGTACTTTGCATGAAACTCACTGTCATTGTCCACAATAAGAATGGATGATTCATTAAACAATCCTTTCCAGAGTAAGAACTGTGGTTGCGGATTATCCCTCACTTCAAGCATGAGGCCTGCATATTCATTCGCTCCAAACGTAGGTCGTCATAGATGGTCTGGTTGTAGCAGACTATTCTCATCAGTTCACTAATAAGGACATCGTCAATTAAATTGACGCAGACAGTCTGCTGTGAAAGTCGGATCTCTCTGCCATCGGATACCGACTGAGAAAGTCAGGAATATCAGGGGCTGGGGAAGAAAGTGATAATGTGTATAAAAATTGTCTTTTATTTGTGCTGGATGACTCACTTGCACGAGGAACATCACCAACTGGGATGTACTGGAGGTGGGAAGTCAGTGACAAAGACATTGACAGTTTCATCCAGAATGTCAAATTCAGGTCGAGTGAGATTGACACAGACTCAACACGGGACCCGCACTCTCTCATCAACAGTGTGCATGTTCTTACAAAAGCAACCTCAAATGGCTCTGCAGAAGTTCCATGATAAAACATAAAACATGTACGAAAAACAAACCAAATCTCACCATCATCGTCAATGATGCAGATAGTGTGCTCACAGAAGTATTATCTGCCAATCATCGTCCTCATAGCATCCAAACAGCTCACGGCGACCAGCACATCGACAGGGAATATGCGTATAGTGTAGCATTCTAGGTCCTCTGGAATCAAGTCATTTCTGATGGCTGTAAGCAGTCAATGGTGAATCGTACGTGATCCCGGGCCAGATCACGGGCTTCCTGATGGGATCATCGGGTTTGCCCTTAGACCCAAATGTAGCATCATAAAATGACTAGATGCTATCAGTGTCTCGACGTGGCAGTAGTACTGGCTTCCTGGAGACGGACACCATTGGATGCTCTCTTTCAGCTGTCCTCACACTATATACATTGATCTCCAGCTGGAACAGATCACTCCAGGCACTTGACCTTCTGATACTGTTCGAATGCGTTGGGTGAACCCAATGATCATAGCTAGCAGACAGAGAGACAAGCTTTATAACAAGACAAGTGACGATTAGAGATGAACATACGATCATTGTCGGTGATTCTAATTTCAGTGGCTCCACGTCGTCCAAAGCACTCTGTTGCTCCAATTCCGAGCTGGAAGCAGCTGATATTCTCGGGAACATCGGGTCCTATCTCAGCAACTATTGCAAAACTCTGCTCGTCCTCATCAATATCGTCGTCACTGATATGTGAAAAACTGGTCTATTCTGTACGATGGTTACTGTTGTCTGGAACTGTAATTGTGATTACGTTTGTCACTGAATCGTCATCTGATAGAGAAGATAGACAGTGACATTACTCAACATTTACAGATCTGATACCGCAATAAATACACTTTGTGCATGTACAATTACTCTATAGCAGCCATAGCACTACAGCCATTTACCATGACCCTATATAGACGAAGCCAGAAACACACCATTCTATTGTGGCTGTGCTGCCCTTTCTACTCAGACACCCCCTGCAGTTCTCCAGATATACTTCCTAACCCGAGTTATTGTTCTGGAGTTGTCAACGCCAACGTTTTTTTGCTGCAAATACTGTGTATTCTACTTCAAGACACGATATACTCCACCACCCATTCCCTGTAAACTCATCTCAAGGTCAGTTGCATTTCCTGTATTTATGGCCTCTATGTATATACCACAATCCTAAAACATGTGCCGTTCACTCAATCAAAGCCCCCAGCTCTCAGCCATAAGGCAAAACGCTACGCTGTTGAATAAAGAGTTATGTGTGGCACATTAACTTACCTGCAGTTGCTCTGATCCAGGTAGATGGTTTCGGATTAATAAAGAACCTCAAGTTCTTGCTCTCCGCAGTATCAATACTGACTGGACTCACATGAGTGTGAATGGTTCTGATTTTGTCTCAACTGAATCATGATTGGAGAGACTGAGTCTCTGCGGATCCCTCCACAACGAATAGTCAGACTCCAAAATATTTATCTCCAACACTGACAGAACAAAAATTATAATACATAGATCGGCAGACATACACGTGGATATACTTACAGTCATTGTCTATGATGTTCACTGTTGCTGAATCCTCACATACCTCCCATTTGCAAGTAACCTGGCTATGAGAGCGGCCCTTTCCGAGCAAACGTCAGTAGGACCCTATCATCGTATTCCAGAGCAATCTCATCATGGCAGCAAAGAGTCTGATCTCGCATGTTTGTGACTGCGATGGTGTTAGCCGTTCAAAGTCAGAATCAACTATGGGGACACAATGTTTTGTGGTGAAGACAGCTACAAATGTTATCGTTTGTCGACAGCTTACCTGCAGTGCCATCTGCTGTGGCGGTGATCTCTCCAGTGACAACAAGACCACCAAACGTGTCGTTCCATTCACATAAGTTTGAAACGTAGTGTCCAACCGTCTGATCCTCGTCGCACATCGTATCAGCTTGAGCAAACCCATGAACTGTACAAAAACAGAGTGGTCAGTCAATGCCGTTGTTGCAAGCACCTAACTGACATCTACCTACATACAGAGATTGCAGGAGAGCCATCGTGTATGAGAGACCTGCGTTAGTTCCAACACAGCAGTCTGCTTGATCTGCTATTGGTAGCCCTGCTTCTGTTACGTCTATTCTATTCCACCGCAGCTGGGGCCGTGTAGCACTGGCAGTGGCCTGTAGGGAGAGTGAAGATGTTTGCGACGCAGTCCGCTCGAAGAAGCCGTATGTGAGAAATGTTACGCTCGGCGCGGCTAGCTGCAGCTCTTCGCAACAGCCCAACCGCTCGTGCGAGCAACGAGTCTGTTACCGTCCACTGAATGAATCAGTCCGAAACCGCGGTTACCGCGAGAAACTTCTGCAACATGCTCGCTGCGAAGTTGATTTAACCGTGCAGAATGCCGGGCAGCAACTTCGCCACTGGTCACTGCACTGCAGCTGCACTGACGGTTATAAAAAACTCTTCTATTCCAAATTTATCGTAGGATCAGGAGGCGGTATGTAGTCATATAACTAGTGGAAATAAGGAACGAATGTAATGATAATGATAATGATAATCATTAAGCACGACCACAATTATCGCAGCGGATCCGGATGAGGATGTCGAACCCAATTTCCCTGAGCACTCAGACCGCGGCGTCGGCGTAGCTGCGCAGCGCCTAGGTCCGCCACAGCGCGCTGGATCGCGGTCGGCGACGCGTCGCAGCAGCGTGATAATGTAGGGGTTAACTTCGGACAGGCGTGTATACACGGACATAACTCGCTATTCAGAAACAAGAGAATAGATTCGGATATGTTTCACTGATTACTACTAGCCAAAGCGCTAACGAAATCTCTCGCGTTTTTGCGCAGGATTTCGGGCCGGTGTTACCGCCCCGTGTGCGGAGTTAATAAGTCTTTTATCACTGGTGAACTCTCCCCACTCACCCAAGCCTTTCTCACAGTGATACTGCCCACGGAGTAGTAAAAAATCACCGAAACTCACCGAAAACACTGCCATACATCTACTGTTTCCCTCATGTTATTTTGTGCTGCTGTGTTCCTATGGAAACCTTTTTGTGTGGTTTATTTTATATATCACAGATTATTTTGATAACTTTTACACGGTTTTTGTACCGTCTCTGCCTGTTGTATATAGTCGTTTCACCGCCATCGTGCATCAGCTCACGTGTTTTTGCAAGTCCAAAGTAAGCCCTTATGGTTATGTGTGTGTTAATTGTAGCCCTTCTGAAGTCCTGTTTTCTTTCTCTTCTTCTTTCTTTCTTTCTACATATGTATATAGCTAGCGTGAGCTGTTCAGTTTTCAGAAACGACACTTTATGCATTATAATGATATAAACAAACCTACTACAAATGCACAGAAAAAAGCTACGAGTACCAAAAAAGAATCAAGTTTCTTAATAGAATGCTGAAGTACAGCAGCAGTTGGTATCCTAGCATCTGTTCCCATCGAAGTGAGAGAACTTGAAATCAGTGGCGAAAAGAGAGTCGACTTTGTAATCAGTGTAGTCTCCTTCGATGACAGAGTCGTTTGGATCAGACACCTCTGACAGCTCCCCGGCCTGCGCGTTGCCGACGTAGTAACACACCCTCTTCTCAAACTCCCACGTCACACTGTACTTCAGCCCCACGAAGCTCCTGGGATCAGATTGAGGGTGGTCCACGGTGATGATGTAATCATCGGTTCTGTCCTCTCCTCCGAATAGACCAGTGTAAGAGCTGACTGTGACTGGCACGTTCCAGAACTGACCTGGAATTGAGCACGAATCAGTGAATACACATAACATGGAATAGTGATTGTTACCAACCAATCAGTCCGTGGGATTGCTCGTTCAGGTTGAGTCCACGCATGACCACGAATCGGATGAACCTGATGTTGAAGTAGTCCATAGTGACTGGGTCCTCCACCTGCCCTGCTCTGCAGAACACCCACATGACCAACATGGTGTCACCACAGTTCGGGACGGAAATGCGCACTCGAGACGATGTAGCGTAACGCTTCACTGATATTCCATCGAAATCAGTACCTAAAGATAACCCCCCATTGATTGTAGTGTTGCACCCATCCAAATCGACCTGAATGTTCCAACAGGCAGTTTCTCCCCTAGCCATCACTCCAATCTGAGTAACTACATTCAAATCTATGTTTGGACTGGGCGTAACGGCCTCCTGGTAGTAGGCATTGACTGAGGTGCATTCGTCCGAGATGAGGTTGAAGTAGGAGCCATCTTCACCATGGACCTCGTAGCACAGCGACTCGACTGGGTCACCAAGCTCCACGGTGGGGTTGGTCCAGATCGGAACAGTCAGCAGAGGATCTCCAGTCAGAGTATCATTCACAAAGAAAGTTAGGCCTAGATAAAAATGATACCTAATATTTTTAGAAAGCTCGACTCTGTAAAATAGACATGTTACGTTGAAATATATACACACAAAAACTCACCACACTCTGGCTCAGAAGTGTCATCAATAGTGACTGTAGCTCGAGGCACATGCATGCGCAGCGAGGGTTATAAGCGCAACAAGACTGCCAAGAAGCTGGTTCGGCGCTACTATAATTCCCCCGCCATAAAGTGCATGCTAGTCAAAAGAGTTCTTCCTTTCTTCCGACAGAGAATCAGTTACCTAAAAGTCCGTGAGAGAGCTCGTTGAGGTTGAGCCCCCGCAGGATGACGAATCGGATGAAACGTGCCCTGTAGTACTTCCAGTCCACTGGGTCCTCCACCATTCCACTGGTACAGAACACGTACATCACCAGCTGTGTGTCGGCACAGTTGGGGACCGAAATACGCACCCTCGAACCGTTATCTTTTCTCCTCACACTGATACCATTGAGGGAGTATGTTGACAGTATAACGCCATCACAGTGGTGGTACACGAGTCCAGATCCACCTCTATGTTGGTGACATGTTGTGTTATCTCCTCCGACAGTTCTCACTCCAATCTTGGTGACCAGGTTCAAGTCGATATTGGAACTGTAGACGAGCGCTTTCTCGTAGAGTGCATTTACGGAGGTGCAGGTGTCGGAGATGAGGTTGAAGGGAACAGTCATCAGGGGATCTCCAGTCAGAGTATCATTAACCAGTCCATCTATAAAGAGTTAGAAATTGTATAAAACTTGTCAATTTTCACAAATGAATAAACGCTACACCCTTGCTTAACAATTCATAACTAAACAATTACACTTGTAGCTTAATTCTCAGAACTTGGACATGAAGCTACCCTCCAAGGTACACATTGTCTCACGTCAAAAACTTATAATGAACGAAAACCTAGCCTGATCTTCATTTGGATTTGCTGAACTTCGCTAAGAGCTAAAAAAATGACTAAGTGACTAAACCTCACCGCAGTCAGGGTCCATGATGTCAAACTTCATCTGTATGTTGTACATTTAGGCCACACCCACCAATTGCCTGCCTCTTGTCGGAACGATACTCAGCGACAAAATCAGCAATGTGTTTTTCATCTCCTCAACTGGCTTGTGGAACTGACCACTTGAATGAATGTTGTACATACGACTGTCTGTGGCTAGCACTGCAGCAGCAGCATACGAATGTGGCACGACCAGCCTTACACGTGGCAACGCTCATCTCTCTGCGACTCTGGCTGAGTCTCAAATCTCATTATTTTCCACGTGCATATATACACTTTTACAAATGTCACGGTAAGATTATGTAATGAATAACAAGTAAATAGTCTACATACAGTACGGGTGCTATATACAGGAACATGGAGAAAACAATAGCTAGATCTTTCACTACAGTTAATACCTAACTACATCAAAGTTCACAGCATACGCGACAATTATGATTATAGCTTTCAACAGCCTCCAAGAGAACATATCTCCTCTCCAAGGTTCCTCACAGCACAGAAATTGAGAGTTTGAGTGATCCTATCTCCCAGTCCCCGGTCATAGCTGGTACCAGTCTCACACTCTTCTTCATCGAGACTGGAGATAGAGGTGGGGCAGGACGGACTAACTCTTATCAACAGACCGTCTAGAACGAGGGACGGACCCGTGGACACCCAACTCTGAATAATGCCCACCAGGTGGGTGGAGTTTGTGGTGTGGAAAGGGTTAACCAGAGTGGTGCGGTAGGTTGTCTTTAGTGGGGTTGCCGTGGCAAAAAAACAGTCCTTTCCGCAGGAAGGGTGTGGTTAATATCCAATTACTGCTGTTGGTACGTTTGCGGATCATACGAATTAGTTGAGATTGTAATTGCTCTTCAATACTGAAGAGCTTTCTTAACCTGTATGATGGACAAAACACAAGGGTTTAAAGTATTACATCTAACAAGGATAGTTCGTTACAAAGTGAAGGGTAATAATAATGTCATAGCATAGCATTCTCGCTTAAAACTTATGCCTGGATGTTGTATTAGTAAGAACACCAACAAACTCAGATAAAAGTTACTAGAGTGTCTAACAACGTTCTAATACAGACATTAAGTTACTTACTCCCCAGTCCACGCAATAGCCAATGGGTCCAAACTGCATCTGAAAGGCATTTTTATCTGCAATGATAAATTGGTGTGAGTTTTTGTACACACGATGCAACTAATGTTGTATCCTAGATCAAATTAATGCTGCAAAGTGGGCGGAGCCTGACAAATAGGTAATAGTTATTCTCAAGCCTACCTAGTTTTCTGAATTATGCAGTGCAAAGTGTGACAGCACTGTCAATACTATCGCAGTATTTTTGTCACTGGAAGCTTAAGCCGCATTCGCTCACCAATTATTATGTTGTTCAAGTATAGTATATTTTACCAAAAGTAAAGGTTTCTGTGGTCCCAAATCCTCTAACACCGTGAAATATGATTTGGTACAGAGTGAAGATATGTTCGTATTCATCTATTCCATCATCCAGTCCTACATCTTCTTCTAGTACAACAGTGGCAGAGGTTGTACCAGCTGGCAGGACGAGCGAAGATTCACTCATCATGGCTCCAGTAAGATTGGAAATGCTGACGTGATGAAGAGTAGTTGGGAAGGCAGAGTTAGTGTGGGTTCCTTGGGTGACAGTGGTGGAGTCTCTGGTCCAAGTGACAGTGGTAGCAGGTCCACCAGTGGAGATACAGGTGAGGGTGAACCGAGGAGTTGGTCCATCGAGGTCTGAAACCTCTGAGAATACTATACCAGCTGATATCGAAACATCTCCTGCAGTAACAGTTGTGATAGTCGTTATCCTTTATACCATGTATCAGTTGCAGCAAACACATGCGTGTCTCAACAACTTGGTAGCGAGGTAGAAAGGCAAGGCAAACAAGTCAGCTACACCTAGGACAGCTCGTTAAAAGAAGAAGAGCTGCCCTGGGTGGGATTCGAACCCACGACACTCTGCCCTGGGTGGGATTTGAACCCACAACACTCTGCAGTCTAGGCGAGCGCTCTACCAACTGAGCTAAAAGGGCAACTCAGCTGGTAGGGGTTCGAATCTATATACAACACAACACAAGGCAAACCTCAAACCACTGTGCTATGGCACAGTATTATACTCTCACTCAGTATGTAGGAGCAGACCACATGACATAACTCTAAGGGTTACATCCACTGGCAGTATACAGTCCCACATAGACTGTGCCCCTTACTGAGATACCGTTTTCATCATGGACAGCATTAGTTGGAATATCACAGCGATAGATGCCAGTTGGTGAGTAAGCACCACGGTTACGACGACGTATGTCAACCTTCTGGGCCCAATGAAACTCATAGGTATCAACATCAGGTGCAGCGAAAGGCAATCTAGTTCCATTAGGAAAATACCAGTCTCCACGATGAGCACCATTACCACTAGTGCAACATGTGCTCAGGTCAGTATGACACTGAACACCTTCACCACCATTAGAAATGTCAGGTCTCCCCACTAGACTGAGGTCTACATAGGAATGGTTGGCCAGAGTCTGGCTCATGAAGGAGACATAAGGAAAAGTCTGTTGAGAGTGGACCTCCACCAGAGACCAGAGGAGACTCCGCAGTAGCACTGACTTCTTCATACCGGCATACCGCAAATGCACACGCAACGCCGAAATTGCGTATGTGCATGATGTAACGCCCGCGCCGAGTGTGTACACACGCAACGCCGAAATTGCGCATGCGCATGATGTAACGCGCACCACCAGCATTCTAGCTCGTAGCGAGGGGTCGCATACGAGTACACACAATTTAGGTATATACCCAGTTTTCCTTCAGGTATATACTTTTTATTTGGGTATATACGAGGGTGTTGCTGCGTTGCAAAAATACAAAATTAATATAGTTGCATGAAGCCTACAAGACAATAGTCCACAACTAGCTCTCTATCAGTAACGTAATATCCATCCAGTCAGTTGTCCTCTCCAGGGATCACTTCGTACACCTCCTCCTCAGACTCAGGGAGTTTGGGGAGAGACTGTTGGGAGGGAGGACGAGGACGAGGAGGAGGTGAGGGACGGGAGGGAGGAGGAGGAGGAGGAGGAGGTGAGGGACAGATAATATCGTATCCTCCTTCGTCCCCAGCTCTCAGTGGGATGTCATACGTCCCAGTCACCCTCCCCTCCTTCTTTACTGTGTGGTAGGCAGAGTTGGTGGAAGTTGGAATGACTCCAGGAGAACCTGGCACTAGACCCATCTCAAACCTGGGAGAATAAAGATAAAGAGCTACTATAATATATGTAGCCCAGTGTATATGTTAGGAGGAACAAGAGCTATAGCATTCCTCACTCACAGTGAACATTGACTGTATATCTAATGCCATCTAGCGCACTTGTTTACATACTGATAAAACCAGTAGCTACTTTTCATTGAACAAACTTTTCAGCAGTCTTGGTAGTCAGTCGACGATTCTTTAGGATCAGAGCAGCAATAACTACAATGGTTACTACAATAGCAATGATGAGCACAATTGCCACAACCCCTCCAATAATGGCGGCAGTGCTGTCACTGCCTGCAGTCGGTAGAGTTTGGGTAGGGGAAGGTTTAGGTTCATTTGGTGGTGGGGAAGGTTTCGAGCACTCTGGATCACTGAGAGAAGAGATGGTCACTGAGCACTGGGAGTCAACAGTCATCAGTACTCCAGTCACAATGACACTGGCCCCGCCTCCTCTCACCCAGGCCTCTATCAGAGAGACGAGGGAGCCACTGTCCCTCTCAGAGGTTCCCTCCAGTCTGGCTCGATACGTCAGGAATAACGGAGATTCCTCAAAACAGGAAAACGACTGTTCGTCCAACACATTACTACTACATTCGGCGCATCCTGCTTTAAATATCTGTATGATTTTAGTTTCAACGTCTTTTAGTTTCTGCTCTGTAAGTGTTGCCTACAGGGATGGTGTTCACACAGAATTCAATGAAGTCAAGAAATTAGCATGATACTTACTATCACGTTTGGACAAGGCAATACTCCTTTAAGTCGCAACTGAAAATAGGCATCTGAAAAAGATATCGAGCAGTCAAATTGTGTTTAAAACAAGGAAAGCTTACAGTCTTGCTGGGTAGTGAAGATAGCTGTAGCAGGCGGTCCAGATCCCTGACTATTGTTAGCAGTCAGAGAACAGGAGTAGAGAGTGTTGGGAGAGAAGCCAGTCACTGAGAGAGAGCCAGAGGACTGGGAGGAGGGGGACTGGGGGAGGGAGGAGGGGGAGGGGGAGCAGGAGAGGGTGTAGCTGGTGATGACTCCATTTTGCTGGGTGGGAGGTGGGGGAGACCAGGAGAACTCCACTTCTCTCTCTCCAGCTACTGCCCCAAACATCTCTGGAGAACCTGAGGGAGCTATATATACACAGACAAATTCAAGTTAAGCGTAAAAATATCCATGTTTTACCAATCTCAGGAGTGGTAATATTGTGTGATTTTGGCTCTGAGTTTCCCAAGGGACCAACGGTAAAGATACTACAGTTGTAGATATTTCCAGGATGGAGATCAGTTATAACGGCTGAGGTACTCGTAGCTGACACTAATGCCTGACGAATTGGTAATTCAATCAACAGAGGATCACACTTCAGATGATAGTTCATGGTGAGGTGAGCTCCAATACTTGGAGGACTCCAATAGAAGGTGATAGAAGTTCCTGTTGTTCTGCTGGACCAAAGCCTCTCAACTGGGTAGGCATCTGTTTACAGTACATTATAGCTACCAATTAGCAAATGTGGGTTTTTGCCTACTTACAAACAACAGCCAATGTCTTTGCTACTGAAGACTGGATGTTAGTTGCACCAACCTGTGGGATGTTGATAGTGGCTGTGCAGGTGTATTGGCCTCCATCAGAAATCCTCAGAGAAGAGAATGTGTGATTTAGCATTTTAGTAGCTACTACTGATATCTCAGTTGTGTTGGGTAAAACTATCTTCATGTGAGGCTCTGCCACCAGTCCTGCCACTACACTAGCTGAACATTTGAAGGTGTAGCTCTGGCCTGCAATCGAGAGTCCAGTTGTTGAGATTGTGACATATGGAGCAGGCGGGACTGAAAGAAAGGATATTATGATAACACTAGCAATAAATAGTGAACAACCAGCACATACCGATCACATCTATTACGGCATTAGAAGCTGACTGGATGTGAGTTGCTCCAGTGGCTGTCCCAGTACAGTTGAGTGTGCCATCGTCTTGATCAGCTAGAGGACTGATGGTGAGGGTACTGGTGTAGCTACTGTCGATTACTCTAATGACAGGGGTGGTTGAGATTCTGTCTATAGGTACGTGGTCTAGACCAGTCCAGTCAGTGGAGACCAGTTCATTGTTGTTGACACTAGAGTCCAGTGTAACAGTACATGTGACAGTCAGACTAGTACCAGCATACAGTGGACCATTCTGACTCAGAGAGACTGTCACAACTGGTGGAGGTACTGTCAGAAGAAAAGAAAAACATTCAGAGACCTTTAAATGATGATTTACTCACTTTGAGCAGTTATGATTTTCTCTGGACTCTCTTTTGGACCGTCCACAGTAATAAAGGATGTCTGCGGTATTATGGCAAGTGTACATGTGTATCTGCCAGTGTCAGAGGTAGTCAAAAGGGAGAATTCAAGATTTGTTCCACTATTATAGACCCTCCTTCCTTCTCCAGAGGTAGTTACGGCTGTATTTCCCACCGTCCATGTGACAACTGTATCAACACTAATGTCCTCCACTGATGCACTGAGATTGAAGTCACACTGTAGAGTGAGTGGTGCTCCAGCTAACATACTACCACTGGCAGTAACAACAGGAGTAGGAACTGCAACTATAGGGGAATATATTATGTAAACACCAAGGTAAACAGTTGGTGAACCTACTCTGCACAATGAGGGTGGTAGAATTATCTATAGAGCCTCTGAGGGAGGCAGTACACGTATAGAGTCCAGCCTGAGATGTCGCAACCTCATGGAGTACTAGGGTACTTGACACCATCCTCCCACTGGAGGTGGGATCAGTTGGAGTAGGGATTACTCCAGGCCCCTCCCACATGAATGATGGAGTATCGGTTACTCCAACAGGCAGGGAGATGGTGCAGGTGAGAGTGACACTGTCTCCTGCCACAATGGAGGAGGAGGGAGAGGAGACCAGAGATATGTTGGCTGGCTCTGTTTAGAAGGGGAATGAAACTCTCAACTTCAGAATAATTAATTTAAAAAATCAACTAATAGTGATTAATTTAAGTTGAAGTGTCAATGCTTTCATGGCACCCACTCAGCACCATGTAGATAAATCACCTCCATTAAAGGCAGAACACCTCCGCTGGTAATGAAATGTTGATCAATGTGCACAGAAATGCTTCAATCGCATGCTTAGTATTAACTATTGGGGTGCCAATAGTATCATCCCCTATGGCATTGTACAAGGATTTACACGATAAGCACCTTTTCCTACCACTAGTCCAGGTCAGTGTAACACTGAACACGGTTACTACCATTTCTGTAGGAGTCATGTTCCACTAGACTGAGGTCAACATGACAGAGTCTGGCCCATGAAGGAGAGACGGGGAAAGGTCTGGCAGAGACCAGAACAAACCCAGGGGCAACAGAACATAACCTAGTGCCATTATCTAGGTAAAAAAACAGTTTAGCTAGCTATCAAAACGTAAAGCTGCTGTAACAGAGTTCACAACAACATTAGGCCTAACTTACATCCGGTAAGTGAGTGGCTAAAATAGCAGTGAGCAATGCTCTGCACATCCTATATACACAAACATGCATTCCACACAGTACGACTATACTGAGGTGTACATAGGGCAGGAGTTGACACAGAAAAATGGTTCGTTGCATTGACGGTCATATATTAGCTATAAGAAAGGGTCTGAGAGTTCACTGAGAATTACAATTAGCCATAGCTGTCTAAAAAAGGTCATCCCCATAGTAATTCTAATGGTGGTAAGTACATAATAATATTGCTAGGCAAGTGGCTAAAAGTTCATTCACACCGTCTTAATTGCAAACCTTCGGCGCATGCTCGGCACCGCTAATTGATGGGCTGGGCTTCTCCACGCTAGTTGGTCGAGGAGAGTCTGACATGGGTTAGCTACACTATAAGATAGCATGCCGATGCGGGAGTCGATACACGGCCTTCGTGGTGACTTCTTGTGGTACAAAGAGCAAGGGATCGGTCGATGTAAACTGGTGCGATTATGCATTATTGCTTGTTTTCACGGCATATCTCTCGACCGCAGTACGTCCTTTCAGGAAAATCGCCATTTTACTTTTCAGGTTCGCGTAGTTCTGAAGACGTTGGTATCGCTCATGGACCGAGATTGGAGGTATCAGGGAGAGTTGCAATGGGAACAGTCATCAGTGGATCTCCAGACACAGTGTCATTCACAAATTCAATTTCGATAAGTATTGGAATAGTTTAGTCAATTAAAGCTGCTAGCACTAAATCTAAAAATATGATCCTGTGATGCCCTGTTTTATTTAATAAAGAATCTTTACGTTTGTACTGTATCAAATCTACTCACTCGTGTCTGTTATGTTAATCAGTCCCTGTCGTGGTGAAGCGGTTATCCGACTGTCAGAGGGATCACCGAGAGAGATAGATACTTGTTCATCAGGCTCTTCTGTGGAATCATCCACGATTGGTACAGATATGCAACGCTTTGTAGCACACGCTCCAAAGAGTTGGATCGTGTCTGCATCCAAATAGTCGTTGTCGACCACTGTGGGGAGCAAAATAGTATTAGCGATCTCTATGAATATGACAGCTGTTTGTTGCTATAATACCTGCAGTGAGATCGCTGGTTGAGAACATGACAGAGAATGGGAATGGAATAGGACAGATCCCAGTCGGCCTATACACGACGATACACACTTCCACTGCAGGAGCAGAGCCTTCTTGGATAGAGTAGAGAGTCCTTTCCAGTCCTATCACAGCATCTGCATCGATAAACAAGTCCATTGGT